TCCGTTATAATTTATAAAATAAGCAGAGGTGCGGTGGGCAATGGACAATGCAACTTTTACATACCGATTTAGTAAAATTAACAGTAATTTTTATAATGAAATCATTATTAGCGCCCCTTCATGATTACGTTTAATGATACTCTTATAAATCATTCAAGTGGTGGGTATAAATCATTTACGTGGTAGAGTCATGCTGCAGCTATATTAGTAATATAGTTGTAGCACAAATGGGTCGGCTCGACCGGGGAAGTACCACGCTCTCACAGTATACCAGCGTAAAATAGCAGCTTAACACTGCTGTGTTTCGTATGGTGAGTGTAGAGAACTGCAGACCCATTTTACTGAAAAAGAGGCATTGCATCTTAGTCCTCACGGGTGATGACGCATCTGCATTTTGTTTCTTTATTGAGGATAAATGTAGTAATGTAGTATATGGGTCACAGCAACCACTTACCATCAGGTGGGCTGTGTGCTCGTTTATCACCCTATCCTACAACAAAATCAAAGGTGATAAAGGATGAGGTAATAAACCTGTAAAGATAATTGTACAGTGGGAAATAAATAAATTTAATAAAGTTGAATAAAGTGAATTAATTAAAATTATCGTCTGTCTGAGTGACGACCTGGTAAGACATGCAGGAAGTCGATGGATGCAGGTGGCTCAGGACCGTGTTTTGTGGCATTCTTTGGGGGAGCCCTATGTTCAGCAGTGGACTTGTGAAGGGCTGTAATGATGATGATGATGATGATCGTCTGTTTCAGATTTAAATTTTTAATTTGAACAAGTCCACTGCTGAAATAGGTCTTTTACTATTCCTTATTTAAGTATTCAACTTTTACCTTAAATTTGACTTTGTTAAAGTACATTTTTGTCTGGGAAAATTTAGTAAAAAGTGATTTTTTATAAACACGACTTAAGTGTTTCAATATATAAGAACCGACAAGTGATGGGAAAAGTCCTTGAGTGGAAAACCTTATGTAATAGATTTAGTAACGTTCCGATAAGGTGTGATAGGGTGGATGCAGATACAGCTGTTAAATCTATAAAATAGTTTAAAATATCTGGTCGAATTTTGCACAACAACATATCGTTTTAAAATGCTTTTATCAGCTTGAAATAGGTAACATGCTTTTATTAGCTTAACATTTATGCATTAGTATAATGAATCTTAAACATAGCTTGTCTTACCCAAAGTAGGTACAGACTACACAATTCCATATGGCACGATCGCAAGACACCTCTCTTGCATCTTTCAAGCTCATACACCTGCGTATACATGCTTGGTTACGGGTACATTTAATTTGGTCCACCTTCAATAATTCATCAATTTGGTCGATAAACGTTCGTTCCCCTTACCGACTCTGCCACACTTCAGCTGCATACATTTTCTTTGTAACTCTATCCTCATTCATACTTTCTAAGTGTCAAAGCCACCGAAACTTCATTCCTTAAGATTAAGTCACAGTACCACCTGATGGTAAGTGGTTACTATGGCCCATAGACATCTATATCTATCCTCGAATACGAATCAAAATGCAGATGCTTTGTCAGCCGTGAGGACTAAGATGGAATGCCTCTTTTCCAGTGAAAGGGGTCTCCGGTTCTCTACACTTACCATACGAAATACATCAGTGTTAACCTGCTACTTTACGCTAGTATTCTGTGAGAGCGTGGTCCTTCCCCGGTCGAGCCGACCTATTTGTGCTACAACTATACTACTAATATAGCTGCAGCATGACTCTACCACGTATAAAATCCTTAATTAAGTCGTCGCCCACTTTTGGACGTCTGTGTAAACTCCGGATGCTTGTATAAACTGAGAATTCTCGGACATATAAAGAAGCGATAACAATACCATAATTTTACGTTTATGACCAACTACTTTGACTAGGATCGTTAAAGTTTATGACCAGTTCGTGTTATTTTTCACAATTACTGTATTTAGATTGACATCTGAAATACACAAACATATTAGAACCACTTTTTTTTCTGAATGTGTATGCTGTTGGTCCTGCGGCCTTGACAGCTTCATCTAATTAGGCTCGTAAGTGAGTACTTACGAACTATTGAGTGCAACGATTCTGCCATCGGCGAGGCGCTTTGCCGACTGCAGTCCCGAGGCACCCCGACCCCTGCTTTTGGAGTGAGGCTCCTCGAGCTAGGGGTGGGGGCTCGATGCGATTCAAGGGCCCCTCAGAAGGAGGTACGAACCTCGGCTTGAATCGCTATCGCAATTTTGTTAACGAGTCGCAAAAGTTAGAAACGCCCCGTATCACGGGTGTTAAACCTCGTGTACGGAGTGTGTCTATGACGACGCATTCGCCGACGAATGCGGTCTGCCCTAGTGTTCTGTACTAGAGTAGTGTCTGAGTGTGTGTGAGTGTTTATGGTTACTAAACTAGTTCCCTCTTCTGTAGAGGGGGGGACGGGATCGACCTATTCATGGAAGTGATCTCGTCGTCGGGATCAAGAAAAACGTTCTTGGGACGTCTCCTGCGGGAGGCAACATCCCTCAGTGGGGAGTACGAGTCCGCCTCATTCACCAACGGATTTTCGTGTTCCTTTATCGAATCGAAGTATCTTAAGGATAGTTCCTTAAGATACGTGTGTATAGTGGGCATATCGAGGTCGCGGTGAAGATCCGCGTTCCTCACATAGAAGGGAGCTCCTGTGATCTGACGCAGGAATTTGTTTTGAACAACTTGAGGTTGTTTTAGACTCGTTTTGGAGGCGTGAGTAAAGGACACACCCGCATATGTCATAATAGGACGTACGCAGGCTTTATAGAGATGCAGTTTGTGTCTTAGGGACAGCTTACTGCGTTTGTTGGTTAAGGCGAAGAGACAAACCGAGAAGCTCATTGCACAATTTAAGGTCACCCCCAGGTATTTTACCTCTCGGACCCATGATATTAGGCTGCCGTAGAGGGAGATCGTACCTATTTTATATTTTTTAACCTGTGCCAATAAGGTGTTATAAAAACACCTTCTGTTGAAAAAGATGGCTTTGCTCTTTTCTACTGCAGAGTCTACTGCAGATTATAATAGGGTGGGTGTCTGAAGAATAGAGTGTTTGGCTCGAAAGCCAAACTGCTCGTTAGCAATTAGATTCTTACTTAGCACTGCATCCTTCAGACGGCTGAGGATGATGCGCTCATAGATTTTCCCCATGGCACTGAGGAGACTGATGGGCCTATAGCTAGATGCTCTATCTCTAGGTTTGTTCGGTTTGTGAATACCGATTACTTCTGCTTCTTTCCACACTACTGGAAAGGTACAGGTGGACAATAAGACATTGAAAATAGCCACTAGAAGACAGATCAACTTTGGAGGAAGGGTTTTAAAGACTTTGTTATTAATACCGTCAGCGCCTGGCGCTTTTCGAGGTATGAGATTTTTGATGATGGTTTTCAACGATGGTTTTAACATCTATATCTATACCAATAAATAAAATTGAAGTGCCTGTTACTATATTTACTAAATGCATATGAAAGTATATACGGTACTAATAACAAAAATACAATTTTAAAGTTTTTGTCTGTCTGTCCGTCTGTCTGTCTGTCTGTCTGTTTGTCCCGACTAATCTCCGAAACGGCTAGATCGATGTTGACGGGTTTTTCACTGGCAGATAGCTGATGTCATGAGGAGTAACTTAGGCTACTTTTATTTTAGAAAAAGAATTAGGGTTCCGCGCAAAAAAAACCAAATACCACGCGGGCGAAGTCGCGGCGAACAGCAATTAATAAAAAAATGGTAATACATAATTATAAACCTGTGAATCATATTGAAGTATTCAGCGATTTCATTTAATAAAATTTTCGGGCATAACTTGAATAATTTGTTCATTGATAGCTGAGGCAGGATAGCTGGGGTAGTAAGAAGCAGTGGACTTGTAGTCCTGCAATATTTACGGATGTTCAAAAGGTATTTCAATAATAAAATAAAACATGATATACATTCTCATTAGTTTAATGAATTTTAACTGTCTTAACCGTATTTATACAAATAAAATATGATAAAAAATATTATCGTTATATTAACTGTGCAATATATTTATTATATAAAGAATTATGAAATACTTAATTATAGCTCTTAAACCTACAGCCTAGTTACAGTCATACATAGCACTGCTGAGTCGAGGCCTCCATTTAACTTCTCAAAGGGTTTCGGAGCTCAAGGAAGAGTCTATCGCGCTGCCTCGACTAGTTTTGGGCAACTTTACATTTGCTAAGACATGTAGGTTTCCTCACGATGTTATTCTTCACAGCCGAGCATGTGATGAATCCGCACTTAAAATTGTGACGAATTAGTGCTAGCTGAGTCAAATCTTGGTGAGCACCAAGAGTTGAACGTATGAAGCTTATTAAGATCTCTCATCTTAAAATTAATTCTTAATAGCTATCACATCAAGATTACATATAGCTCATAACATAAATATACATTAATATTACTATATAAAACTTAACATACATACAAAAGGCAAGCATTCCAACGATAAAGAATAACTTACAGACTATTTAGATACAATAATCTAACGGAATGAGGACCTTTCCTATGCAGCAGGGAACTATTAGTCATACTGTACAAACTATTATTTGTTTTTCTTTTTTCTTAGAAAGAAGCACATTCAGAGTCTGTTAAGAAACAAAAATTAAATAACAATGCTGATATTTACACAAGTAAACTTACGTTTTATAGTCTCGAAGTATTAAATTAGATTTTTTTTTCAAAATAAGCAATATATGTATTTGATTACAAGAAACTATGACATCTTGTAAAGGTATTTTCATACAATTAATATGGAAAATAATATTTTTTTTTTCAGATCATAAGAATTATTTCAATTAACACGTACTTACTACATTATAGATAAAATATTTACTTCAATATCAAATCTATCAACGGAAATATCCTTCTGTAAACATTCATACGAAATTATTTTTGCGATTAAAATAATACTGGCGTAATGTCTTATATCCTTAAGGCTCTATCTTTCACATCTACCAGTATCCGTGATGCCCGTAAAATCCGTAAGGCCAGCCGTATCCGAAACCATGACCGTAGTGCGGCCAGGACCAGTATCCGCTATAGTAAGGGTAGTACCCTCCCCAACCTCCCCAATGGCCTCCATAGCCTCCCCAGTGACCGCCCCAGTGAGAGGCTGCTGTTTGAAGATCTTCTTTCTCGGAAGCTGCTTGATCCAGCTGTTCAGTAGGAGCCGCTGTCACTGCTATAAGTAGCGCAGCGCAGACAAGGATGACCTGGGAATGTTAAGAATTAAAATGATTGGTTTTTTAGAAGTAAGAGTGACGAACAAGTACACAGTCTTGAAGGGTAAAGATTAAGTATAAAATACAGATTCGTGGTTACCCCTGACGACTAATATCGAATGCCTCACATCCAGTAATAAGAGTTTCCAGTACTCGTATCCTAATGAACAGCATAAACACCGTCAAGTTTGCCAAACACCACTTCTAGCGCGCTGCAAACTTGACGATAAACTGAATCGTATATGGCATCCATTATATTTCGCACTGATATTACTCGTATGTGCGGGACGTGTTGCCTCCCGTTCGAGTCGACTAATTCATGCTGCAGCTATAATAATGTGTCTATGCCTTTACCACAAATAGAAAAAAGAAAAAATGGATGAAATAGGAAGGCGGCATTAACCTTTTTCATTAATTATTCATCAAAATTATTTTTGCGCCACACACCGCAAGTCAGCTCTTATTTATTGTTTGGAAAATTTACCCAAACGTACCTCACTAAGCAGGCAGTTGGTGACCTTTGGTAACACTGATTATCACCATCAGTGTTCAAGGGTCAGGTTTGGCATATTTGGATGGGTTTTCAGGGTGAAACAAGTGAAGGTGACTTGGACGTTTAGAGACAAAGTTGGCATTTCACCCTACACCCGCCAAGAGCTTTATCATCATCATTGTCTCTCAAATCCACTGCTGAACATAAGCCAATTAGGAAGATAGATTTTTCGAATGGTAACTTCGAACTGGTAAGTAGAGTGTAGGGTGTGTTTTCGCAATACTTACAATAGTTTTTAACAAACAAGCATTTTGAATTGCTGCAGTGTTCGTAACATCATTTTAATCAAAATACTTAGTTCAACAAACATTAAAAAATAAAAGCCTTGAGCTTAACTTTTCTTTTCTAAAATGCCGCCTCTTTATAATCTTTATCTTTTTCTTCGATTGTTTTACTTTTGTGTCTATTTCGCGGACCGGGAAACTGTTAAATAATTATTCAATTATGGTGGTTGCATAAGTTATTTTTCTTGAAATTCAACGCTCTACTAAGCAACAAAAAGGGCTTGAGATGATAAAATAGTTATAAAACCACAACCACAGAATAAATAATACACAACATGGTAGTGCAGCTCTACTCTTGACAGTTTGGTATGCAAAGCTTCAGTGGGGCCCCTATATATTCAAACTGTCAAGGGATATGTTCTGCAGCTTATGCTGTAAAAAAGATTAGAGATCTCACTAGTTTCGAGACGGCTAGATTAGTTTACTTCAGTTATTTCCATAGCATAGTGTCTTATGGGATTTTGCTTTGGAAAAATGCGGCTGATTTAGAAACTATTTTTGTTTTGCAGAAGAGGGCCATAAGAGCGATTTGCGACCTTAAACCGAGAGAGTCTCAAGAAAAATTTTAATAAATAAATATATTAACTTTAGTCTCTCAGTATATTTACGAAAATTTCATGTATTTTCAAGTTTAAATATTTAATTAAACAAAAACTGTATAAAAAGGGTTATTATAGTATAAATGAATACATGGTTCATAATAACCTCTGGTAATGAGGTGGTCGCCTCTAAGCTGTTTCTAAAATAAATTTTGTAAATAATTTGTAATCATTTATATTGTAAAATTTATTTTAAAAATGTCCCGCTGGGTTTCTTGTTGGTTCTTCCCAGGACAGAGGATATTTTCGAACTAGTGGTAAAGTAAATAAATGACTTTCAATAAGATTTACTTGTAATCAATATTGAATAAAAAATTATTATATTTTATTCTAAAATAAAAAGAATACCAACTTATGCACTAAAATGACAACATAATTTAGGTAGATCAGTGACCATAAATAGAACGAGGAAGATAGAGGATTATAGAGACAAATAGTGTTCCATAACTTGTTTCTTAAACTAATGTAATGATTGGAGCACTTTTAATCGACTGGGCTAAGGAGTCCCGAATTCTTACTCAAAGAACAGAGAAAGATTTATCATGAAAAGTAGAGTTCGCAGGACATTGGAGGGAAACATTTTCCTTGAACCGTGGGGAAAAATTATGACAGGAGCTGAGCTGAGGAACGTTATTTTATATATGAATTTTTTTAGATGTGGACTTTATATATTAATAAAGACGCAATTGAGGTTAGAAAGAATATGAACATTCCGACGAAGACAGATTGATATTTAGTTTTGTTTATTTTCCGAAGTTAAATAATGTTAGGAGTTTGTTGTTTATTTCCCGAAGTAAAGAGTCTAAAATTGTTATATTAATAAGTTTTTAAAAAAAAACATCTACATCTATCCTCGACTACGAATCCAAATGCCGATTCGTTGTCACCTCTGAGGTCTAAGATGGAATGCCTCCTATCCAGTAAAAAGGGTCTCCAGTTCTCTATTTTATGTTGGTGTTCTATAAGAGCGTGGTCCTACCCCGTCGAGCCGACCAATTCGTGCTACAACCATTATATACATAGCTGCAGCATGAGAGCCACGTGAGCAAAAATATGTGATGTGTGAACTCTATTTGGTTTTATTTTAGTTTGACATACTTTTCAATTACATTAGATTTTATTAATATAATAAATAAATAAAAAATATAATATTTGATGGCGGTGTAAGAATATATACCATATGATATCAAAGGTGCCGTAAGAGGCGACAGAGGGAAATAAAACCGATAGGCAGCAGTGCTTTCCTAAGAACAACTAGAAAATAAAATACTGCGTGGTAACTATGGCAAATATCCCCCTTATGAGACGATCTAAGGGGAGATCTATGTATGGTAGTGGACTTTATTGGGCTGTAATAGATAGATAATGGAATTTTTTCTAAAATTGTGCTATAAACAAAAAACGAAAAATTGAGTGAAGTTAGTTGTCACTGCAATCTATTTAGACCTTTATCGAGCCTTTATAAAAATTGCCTTGCTTGCCTCGGCTTTGCACGGGTGATTTCTGAATCTCGATAAAAATGCCACCTACTGAGTTCAATTCTGAATCCATACTATCTGGGAACCCACTCAAATAAAAACATATTCAACAAATTTCATGAAATCGGCAGTAGTTTAGGAGGAGTTCAGTCACATGCACACGGACAGAAGAACATTATCTATACATATAATAAAACTGTAAATAGCAGATGTCTGTACATTTTATATTTTTGTAATAAAAGTGATTGAGGGGTACTAAAAATAAGTAATTAAATACATTTCTACCATTTTTAGAATTTTCTGTCTGTCTGTCTGTCTGTCTGTCTGTCTGTTTGTTTGTTAACGTATCACGTATAAAGTACTAATTTATATCATAAGAATTGTTAAGGAAATTATAAAGTGTATTTTCGGGTTACATTTAGTCTTTATTTCATTAAAATCAGTTCATTCCATCAAAAGTTATGATAAATATTCTGAAGTATGGGTAGGGAAGTATAGGTACAAATTTGCTCAACGGTGGCTTTGTTTGAGTCATCAAGTGCATTTTAAACTAATATCATATCATAAATCATAGTTAAATTATGTAAAATAATGATATAATTATGTATATCTAAAACGCAGTAAACAAAAGTATTAAAGAACGTTTTAAATATTAACAAAATTATACAAAAATATATTAACGTTATTAACTAAATCTGAAGCACAATAGTTAACCCATTTCTTCGATAGATGGTGGTGTTGTGAAAATGTAATGTAATTACAATGTGGTTTTTTCCTGTAGATGAGTTTTCATATTTACTGCTAATCTTTATTATATTACTCGCTGCCCTACTGCGTGTTGACAAACTCAATTTATTCTTTACCGCCGAGTACTCTATGTGGTAAATCAAATTTTAAAAGAGCTATTAACAATTGCGTTGGTTTTGGCGAGAATCAAACTTTATTTTTTGCTTACTGTGTAGGCACTGATTTATAAGTTCTCTTGCGTTTTATATAATGTATCAATCGCGTCAATTAATCTCTTTTATTTTTAGAATTGATGTTAGCAGCGCCATCTCTCTTTACATATATACATATAATAAAAATGATGATAACATGTTGTGTCTCTTTCTGTACATTGTATATATATTTTGGTGGCTAAAATCATTATGGGGAACTGAAAATAATTAAATAAGAACATTTTATAATCTTTAGAAATGTCTGTCTGTTATTATATGAACGCATCACGTCTAAAGTAAACATCTTTTATTTTCAAAGAAATCGTTAAGAATATCATAAAGCGTATCTTCGAGTTACATTTAATCTTTGTTTTATTAAAATTGGTTAATTCTATCGAAAGTAATGATTATTATTTTGAAATGTAGGTTCGAATTTGTTCAATGGCGCCATAAAATCTCAGAAATAGTAATAAAAAGATTTGTGTGTAAAAAAAAATCGTTCAATAATAATTAATATATTTATACTTAAAACACAAAATGAGATTTAAAAAGGATGTTTTCTCACACAAAGGACGTAATAGATGGAGTTGTACAATTTACAAACTTTTCTGAATTGCTATGTTGAGATTTTTCGCCGATAAATCGTATTGAGACTTAGTGAAGAAATTTGTATCCATCGAAGCTATACAACGGAACCCGACCAAAAATAAAAATTTTGCAACGAAATGTCGTGATATTGTATTTATAATATACGCAAAATCAGTACTGCCATTTTAGCGCTTTGGGGACTAGATTTAGCGCTTTTTTGGAATGTATAGCGCGCATTTCAAAATTTTAGCACCTAGCTTAATCCAGCGCTTTTTGGTGTATTTAGCACACATTTCAATATTTTAGTGATTAGCGGGTTATTAACTCTTTTATAGCAGCACTGTTAGTCCACATTACCGATAATAATAATAATGACCTTTATTATTTTTTCCCACAAATAGTACATTGCAGTTTATCTTTTTCAAACATATTTTTTCCACAAAACAAAGAGCATGGGAGACGAGTCCAAACTAGGATACCCTGTGCTATGGATCTCCTGGCTTCCCCTTTAGGATGACCAACTTGATTTTTTTACCGACGACTATAAGCGGGGAAATCCCCTTTATTAAAGTTTTCGTTCATGGTTTTGGCAACGCATTTATTTTGCTTTATTCAGTTTCAGTCAGTTGCTTAGAGCACAGCTAAGTTAAAAGTTACTTAGAAGTTATAACACAAAGAAACTGTGTAGCAACCGCAATCAGATGCTGACATCTGAAACTAAGTTGCGAAATACATTGCACTTTAAAACAATTAATGACATTTTTATTGTTCGTACAGTACTAACTACAGCAATTGCCATAATTATAAGTCGATGTCCTGCGAAGTATTGATACATCAAAAAAATATTGCCAGAAAAAAAAACTTATTGTTGTTTTCTTTATTATGATTATATAAAAAAACACAAACTTTGTTTGTAGTTAATTTAGCGCGAAATCTAGGGCTTTTTTAAAGTGCTGTTTTCATGAAGTCTAGCGCTTTTTGTGTTGCCCTAGAGCTGAATGAGTTTTTTTTTATCTGGCAGCACTGCCCAAAAACCCTCTATTAAGAAGTAACTTTCCTTTCAGTTTTAAGCGCGTTCAGTTCCCAGTTACAGTGAGCGTGTGTTATGCGATGACCGTAAAAAAGCGCAAGGTCAAACTTTACGCGTTGTAGGAGTGTACCTCAGTACTGACTGTTTTGCACATGGCCAACTCTATGTTGCTTTTTCCCGCGTTAGTAGCCCCCGTAACCTTTTTGTGTACACCCCGGCTAAGCCTACTTCTAACGTCGTTTACACAGAAGCTCTATCATAAACGACTTAGAACTTTGATGATAATGATTTATTTAGTTTGTAGCGGGTGGAAGGAAAAGGGGAGATCTCCCGCCGGGCAAGGTGTTCTGCCCGGGGAGCGGCCAACGCTCCGATTGGTAGTTCGGAGCTATTCTATATATGCTGCTTTAATTTCGGAACTTTGATAGCGCGATTTAGGCTTCGATGTGTTTCGCTTGTGGCGCGACGACAGCGCCGCCACATTACCCCCCTGCTCAGACCGAAGGTCGATAGTGCAGTCCGATTGCCGGTGCGTCCTTAATGCCGGTGGGGAATGCATGCTGTGTGCGTAAGGACAAGTGACGCCGGTGCGAATGATATGCCGGTGTGTAATGCATGCCGTACTACGCACTTGCAAGTGATGTCGGTGAGAACGATGAGCCGGAGCAAGTGCCAGGGATTGCCTTGTAGTCTGCGGTGAGTCGAGAAGAAGGCAAGTAATCTGCGAGAGTGCCGTGAAGCAGAGGCGAGCAGTAAGGCTCAGAGCCGTGCCGAACACTGTAGCGCAGAGAGTAGTAGCTTGAAGGAACAGGAAGCATTATTATTCCAGTGCTGCGATGAACCTTTTGTAAAGCTAGATGGCTTGCAGAATGTGAAGACTGCAGACAATGTCTGCTCGGGAGCGAATGAATGGGGTACTTGAGTAAGATGACAAAGTTTTTGAAATTGTAGTTTCCGAAGATTGTTGGTTGCGTGTTCATATCACGTCGGGGTCACCACTGTAGCGGGTGGAAAGAAAAGGGGAGATCTCCCGCCGGGCAAGGTGTTCTGCCCGGGGAGCGGCCAACGCTCCGATTGGTAGGTCGGAGCTATTCTATATATGCTGCTTTAATTTCGGAACTTTGTTAGCGCGATTTAGGCTTCGATGTGTTTCGCTTGTGGCGCGACGACAGCGCCGCCACAAGTTACCACTTATTGATACAGTAATGAAATAAATCGTTTAATATTCTCTTACCTAAACGACAAATTCTTTATGTAAAACCTGTATACGCGAGCTACGCCGCGGGCACAGCTAGTTTATGAATATAACGATTAAACAGATTTGTCGTCACTTGTCTATCCAGGGAATTGAGCAGTGTTGTGTTGTTCCTATATTATTAAAAAAAAACATATCTTATAATAGAAAAAGAAAATAGTTAACTTCCGGTTGTTTGGGACCATTGTAAATGTATACTCTACCATTAAATGAAATTTCAGCTGCGTTATATACGTTAATTAGAAAAGATAAAGACAACCTCTACATTTTATGAAGTCAGCTAAAAATATTTCTTTATGTATACCGACTAATTATGTAAATCATTTCTAGGAAACAAAACAATGCCGGGTCAGTAAGTTTTTACGCTGAGAAACACACATGAATAACTTATCAATGGTTTACAGTTTGATCGACCTCCATTCTTTCAAAAGTATGAATTTACAGCCTTATATACCTCCTAGTGCTAGGTAAAGGCCTCTTCTCTTTGGTGAGACATCGAACCCGATTAAAATTGCTATTAAATTGCAGCACACAACGTGTGACAAACTAGCATACAGTCCACATGATGGCGAGTGAATCATGTGGCCATGGTTTGTATAAGCCACATAAACTAAAATATAACTGCAAGCTATTATAAGATATTTTTATAATGGTGTCCTCCTGGCAAATTTCGGTCATGGCGGGCCAGTCATAATGGATATTATACATCCAGTGTGCGCAAGCACAGGTGCACTGTCTATTTCCCCACTCTCATTGTCCAATGGGACGGCAAACTTACAGGAACGGAGGGAGATTAGACGCGGGACCAAAGAATTTACGAGTGACGGGTGTTTTCCGAGGCACTGGGGTAAAACACCGCCAACTACGAGTACTAACTCCGGGCCGCTATTGAGAATTTCTTGATAAAAAATAGCCAAGAACTAATTTTTGAATCACTAGTGTGTAGAATGATTAAACGCACTAATTTATGCAATTTGTTTAGTTTAATAGCTGGTATAAAAAGGGACGACTGCTTTAATCTCGGGTCCTGCGGTTGAGTAGCAAAAATGTGTACGTTTCGTTATTATGGAATGGAATAGAACAAAATATTTTTTTATTCAATATAGGTCACAAAATGCCTATTGCAAGTATTTTTTTTACTTTTACCACCGGTTCGGAAAAACCCCCAGTCCTAGGAAAAATAGGAAGAAACCCAGCGAGACCTTTTTTCAGAGTATATAAAGTCATACATAATCTCTATATATACTCGTAAAAATCAATTGCTATTTTTTTATAGAATAAGGGTGACAAACGAGCACACAATCCACCTGATGGTAAGTGGTTGCTGTGGCCCATAGACATCTACATCTATCTTCGTTTGCGTATTAAAATGCAGATGCGTTGTCAGCCGTGAGGACTAAGATAGAATGTCTCTTTTCCAGTAAAAAGGGTCTCCGGTTCTCTACACTCACCATACGAAACACAGCACCATTAAGCTGCTATTTTACGCTGGTATTCTGTGAGAGTGTAGTCCTTCCTCGGTCGAGCCGACCCGTTCGTGCTAAGACTATACTATTAATATAGCTGCAGCATGGCTCTACCACACATTCGTTATGCTATCCGTTAGTCTCGCTAAAACTCAAAACCGGCTCGACAAATTTTGATGATTTTTTGTGTGGGGTTGAATGGGTCCCTAAATAATTTAGGTAAAGGTTCAAAAACCACTCGTGCGAAATTGAGGCGGATCGCTAGTACATAATAAAGTCGGATATTGGATTCTTTTGCACCACTACCACAAGGGAAAAGTTCTGACCTCTTACCTATTTCTTTTTATTAATAAAATAATAATTACGTTTGTTAACTATTTAATAAAGCTAATCCGTGTCTCATTGAAACCGCCGAAAATATGCGCGAAAATTTCCGTGTGTCAAGAAAAAGAAATATAAAAGATAATACACTTACCTTGAAAACCATGTTGCTATCACCAATAGAACTGAACTGATAGCCAACGTCGGTAGCGTGCATTTTATATGGCTGCCGCGTCCTAGAGCCGCACGGCTGACTGAGCGGCTTCCTTGGCCGGTGTGGGGGTGCCAATGACCTCCATGATGCTGGGCCATGGTGGTACGTCACGCTTGTATTGTATGATACTCAAGGGATGCTAATGAAGTTCTTTTCTTTCTATACAAACAATATGAGCACTATTATATTGTTGTGATATTAAGTTATTACAGGTTTTAGGTTTTTCTTAATAAAACGTTACTTCCACACTAGGATTTTCTACTGTAACGTGGAGACGGCTTACACACATATATTCCAGAAGGGCAAACATCCAGACCCGGAACAATTATTTGTAGACCATATAATATTTGTTCCGTGCGGGATTCGAACCCGCACCCCTGATAGCAGCGCTATCACTCAGTATTCTAGTGCAGAGCCTTAGTTTTAAAGCTAGGCTGAACCAGAATTTGTGAAGAATCACAATGAATTGGTCATCTGTGCGAAGCCGGGGGGATCTCTAGTCTAGCAATAATAGTTATGTAATTAAGAAAAAAATCACAGCTAATTTTATTGACGTTTATAGTAACGCGTGTCATAAAATCAAGCGAGACGAATTCAAATTAATAGAATTAGATGTTTTTTTTTTTCACCGCTAATGATAACTTAACTTTTTATAACCTTAAATGATAGTGGTCGTGGCGGTGTAAGAATATCCACTAATCCATATCATGCCGCGGGTGTCGTAAGAGGCGACAGAGGGAAACAAATCAGAAGACAGGCAGCAGCGTCTTCCTAATAACGAGTAAAAATAAATACCTGGGGTTGCCAACCCGCTTGCCAAGCGTGGCAACTATGGCAAATATCCCCTTAAGAGGAAATCTATGTTCAGCAGTGGACTTTAATAAGCTGTAACGGTAACGGTAAATGATACAGTCAAACTAGAACATCTGAGAATGGCAACTATTTGTCGCTTTTTAACAAACTTCAAAAAGGAGAAGGTTCTGAATTCGACTGTGTTTTCCGTATGTGTGTTACGCAAATATCTTCCGTTAACTGTTTTTATTGAAATAAAATATACTATACGATACCGAGAGGAGTCCTGTTTAAATTTGATTAATAATACAACCACTAATGGTGGAAAAGTAGAGATTACTATTTATAATGTTATATAGAATACGTTCTAGTTGTCGCTTTAAGCTCATCATCGTCATTTTTCTGTCATTTTTTATTTATTTATATTGTGTTGATTGATGATTGTAAAATCAGCTGTAAATAATGTGAATAGCCATATTTTTCACAACTAATGGTGGGTACGGTCGGTGCTCACAGGAAGGAAGAACGAAGGACAATCTACATCTGTAGGAAGTTCATCCGTTATTGTTCAAATTGACAAAGCCTCTTGAATTTGATTCTTCTAAGTAATTACACATTATTCGTTACCGCATGGCGAAACAAAATAAAAGACTTCTGTCAAGCTAACATTATAAGGTCCGACAGAATTACAACGTTTGTTGTCAACATTTAGTGAGGTTTCCATTAGGTAGGTTAATTTACGTCGTGCAAATAATGATTTCTTATATTTTCGCGTATATCACATATTAAATTAAACTAATTTTACCGTGACCATGATAGCCGTAACGCACACAAAACATCGGGAATTAAAAAGTTCAAATTAAACGCGATTAAATCCGTATAATTAGTTGTAAATAATTAAAATTGTATATAAACGTAAAACAAATTTGATGATCCATTGAATGAGCAGAAAATTGATATAATGGTTTAATCATAGTCAAATCTTTTTTTTTTATAGGATATGGGTGACAAACGAGCACACAGTCCACCTGATGGTAAGTGGTTGCTGCGGCCCATAGACATCTACATCTATCCTCTATTACAAATCAAAATGTAGATGCGTTGTCACCCGTGAGGACTAGGATGGAATGCCTCATTTCCAGTAAAAAGGGCCTCCGGCCACCTGCACTCACCAAGCGAAACGCAGACGTAAACCTCTACTTCACGCTGGTTTTCTGTGAGGTCGTGGTACCACCCCGGTTCGAGCCGGCCCATCTGTGCGACAGCAAAAGCTGCCGCGTGGCTCTACCACTGTTCTTTATGCAATTTAGTCTAGTTTAAAGCTCTTATCCCTCACTAGATGGTTTAACGACCTGGGTAGGGTTGCAGGAAATAATTGATGCAAGTAGCTCAGAAACGTATTTTGCGACATTCCTTGAAGGGTCTATGCTCAGCAGTGGTCTTTTGAAGGTTTGTAATAATGATGATGGTAATGATGATTTTGTCACTCGACTGGAATCATAGCTTGTAGTCCATAACTTCAGTTAACTCTAAGTAAAGAAAGCTGCAGTTCTTGTTGCTACTAAAGGCGAAGGTAGAATGTCTTATATTGTATTAACTCTCTAATATCTTTAAATCAGAAAAATAGTGCAGACACTGTGGTGTGCGACACTAACTAGACAGAAAAGGTAATAGTTTATTAACCGGACTAAAAATATTTATAAACTAGCTGTTCCCCGCGACTTCGCCCGCGTGTAATTTATTACGATTGGATTTCATGGGTTTTAATTCATTTGCGCGGAACCCTAATACTTTTTCTAAAATAAAAGTAGCCTGAGTTACTCCTTATAAGATTAGCTATCTACCAGTGAAACTCCTGTCAAAATCAGTCCATCCATTTCGGAATTTTGCCGAAACAAACAGACAAACACAAACACACAGACAGAAAGACAGATAGAGAATTTTTTTAAATTCTGTTTTTGTTATAATTACCGTATATAATTTCATATGCATATAGTAAAAAGCTGTTATTTTGACAATACAAACATGTGTATGTTTAATTTTATTTATTTCTATATAAATACATTAGGAATCCGTCTAGGTACCACGCTATTATCAATTTCTGCCGTAAAAAATCATTGTTTTCCCTGCCGTGTTCTGTCCTAAAGGTTATAGAGAACCAGTATGACAGATTGTTCGACAATCCATCTTAGTCCTGGGAGGCGGCAGCTCATCTATAGTCCACATCGTTGGAATTTGGTTACAGGTGCTTACGTATTGCATAGCCATTTACCATCAGACTAAGTGTAAGTTCGTTTATCACTTAAATTTTATGTTAAAAATATTTCAAAAGTATGGCTATATTTTTTGGTTTGATTTCCCATATTTACACGAACACTACACATTTAAATGAAACTAGTTTTTACGGATTCTATCGCGTATATTAACTTATATTCTCGACGTTATTTTAGTTTGGTGGTAGCCGTGATTACCTATGACATTGGAACGTCGAATACCTCCCCCCCTGACTATGGGTGCTATAAAGTGCTCGAAACGTCGGGAATATAAAATAAGTTAATATACGCAATAGAAAACTGTGCCCCCTTTTTCCTAAAGAGATGCTCGCTTACGATTCGGCAGAAAGGCTACACAAGACAATGCCAGTCTCACAGTTGGTGTTTAGTGGGTAGGCACTAAGGTTTCGCAGTGAGTCCCACATAACCACGGCAGCAGGCTGTCGTGGTATGCTTAGAGCATTCACCACCTCCCGCCCTCGCTTCCCGGAGCGTAGCCCTTTCCGTTGCTTCTGAAAAATAGAATCCGTAAAACTAGTTTTATTTTTTGGTTAGTTTTGGATTTCTGAAAAATACTTTCTACACATACTCATAAAAAGGTAAAAAATCATACGAATAACTTGTGCCGGTAACACGGCTCCAAGAGCTGAACGAAGGTTCCTCGTATTATGAAGAGGCTTCGGGACTGGGAAGGGACGTCATATCCTTGAAATATTTTTTTATTTTTACGGAGATGCAAAGTTTTTGCACTGTCGTGCGCATTGTAAATTGTTATTTAAAACTTACATTAAAATTTCATTACTGTCAGCGGGAATTGAAATCATTTAGCTCGCGTACTGTGAACTTACTCATGAACTACCACGACTCTTACTTTTTTCTTATAAATGTTTAATAATACTTATAAATACAATTGTGTCTATAATATGGAAATAGTTGACTTAAACAGAGCTGAGGGGGTTATTTGCATGTAATTAAGTCATCAATAACCATTTTTGAAATTTCTGTCTGTCTGTCTGATTCCGGGCTAATTTTCGGAATGGCTGAACCGATTGTAATGAAACTTCACAAATAGATAGAGAGCAATTCCAGGAGTGATGTCGGTTTTATTCAAAAAACTTGAATGTTTTGTACGTGGTAGAGCCAAGCTACAGCTTATTTAACTATATTTATAATATAGTTGGTAGTAGTAGGGCCACGCTCTCACAGAATACCAGCGTAAAATAGCAGCTTCATGCTGCTGTGTTTCGTATGGTGAGTGTAGAGAACCGGAGACCCTTTTTACTGAAAAAGAAGCATTCCATCTTAGTCCTCAGGGCTGACAACGAATCTGCATTTTGATTCGCAAACGAGGATAAATGTAGATGTCTATGGGCCGAGCAACCACTTACCATCAGTTGGACTGTGTACTCGTTTGTCACCCTATTTTTATAAAGAAACGTTAACAATAAATTATAAAATATATAGTTTTGATTGTGTTAGATCTAACGCCACATTAATATATCTTAGGCAGGTGAAGCCGGAGTGGTTCGCTAGTTGTTTTGTAAAATTAGATAATAGCTAAATACTTATACTTAGTAATTGCACGTGAGGTTTTGATATTAGCAGAATAACTGCGCTGTGATTATATCACTGTCTAATAACACTGAATTGGCAAAATGGCGAATCCCTTGCCCGCATGTAATAAATAATGCCAACATGCCAATCTCCGCGGATTGGCATGTAAGTATAAACGATGTATATCAATATATGAAATATATAAAATAGTTGCATGTGTGTGAAATTATTAAAAAGAATAAGGTGCGTGAGGGTAATATGGTCACCTTAAGCTTTGCCGCCCTATACAACCAAAACTAGGAGGAGGGCAGAGACAAAAACACAAAGTCTTATATGCTATAAATATTAAGAACAATAATTTAAAATTTAAAATTTTGTACTGCC